TTTTTTTATATATATATATTTTTTTGGTAATTAATAGTCTCATTCAGAACTTGTTGCTTGAAGTGTTGTCAAATATATTTTTTGATTTACATTCATATAGATATAAGTATAGTTAAAATGTTGTTCATATATAATACAATAAAGTACAAAGTATTTATATATTATTTTACAGCATACAATAATTTTCTATTTTTTAATACTAAACTTAAAGCTACTGTTTGTTCTTATTGGCAGTAGTTTTTATTAATTTATATATTTTTTGTAATATTTATTTTTTTTCAGTTAAGCACACTAATATGGCAGAAATTTGTGCTCTTGTGTATTCTGTTTATGAATAATATTGATATGTGTATCATAACTTCAAGATTTATAAAATATTTTCTTGTTTGTCGTTGTTGTTGGTAAGCCTACCCAAGCAAATGCGCTAAAATAAATCCAAATGAAAAACTGTAGCTGAGCTCGTAATTAAAAGTGAAAACATATATACTTTTATAGAGAGAAGGAGAGTTAACACTCGCAAACACGCCTAACAACATTTTCTAACACTTGTCTACAACTGCTGCGTACTGTTCTTAAGTATTTTTGTTTATATATATACTATTATTAAATCATATGATGATGGCACAACAGAGGTTAGTAAAGGACACTCGAAACACAAGATATGTATATATATATGTATATGTATATATATATGTATAGTGTATATATACATATAAGTTAATTAAATTTTTGAGTTTTATGTTGATTTGATTGTTATAATTTTTTTTTTTTTTTTTTTTTTTTTTTTGGCGCAGAGCGATGTTGTGGTCGTTGTCGTAGTAGTTGTTCATTTGACGAAAAATATGCACAAAACAAAAAATACATTTCGTGAGACTATTAATGATTGGCAAAAAAAGAATTTCATAGTGAGTTTTATCAATTTTGTTCTTCTCATACATTTTTTAATTTCTGTTCTTTTTTTTTTTATATATATATATTTTTTTGGTAATTAATAGTCTCATTCAGAACTTGTTGCTTGAAGTGTTGTCAAATATATTTTTTGATTTACATTCATATAGATATAAGTATAGTTAAAATRTTGTTCATATATAATACAATAAAGTACAAAGTATTTATATATTATTTTACAGCATACAATAATTTTCTATTTTTTAATACTAAACTTAAAGCTACTGTTTGTTCTTATTGGCAGTAGTTTTTATTAATTTATATATTTTTTGTAATATTTATTTTTTTTCAGTTAAGCACACTAATATGGCAGAAATTTGTGCTCTTGTGTATTCTGTTTATGAATAATATTGATATGTGTATCATAACTTCAAGATTTATAAAATATTTTCTTGTTTGTCGTTGTTGTTGGTAAGCCTACCCAAGCAAATGCGCTAAAATAAATCCAAATGAAAAACTGTAGCTGAGCTCGTAATTAAAAGTGAAAACATATATACTTTTATAGAGAGAAGGAGAGTTAACACTCGCAANAAATTTTTTAGTTAGTAGAACAAGTTACAGTTAGCACTCGATATAGGTGAACACAAAACTAAAGAAAATGTGCATGTTGTTTGGTATATATATTGATATATAGAGAGAGATATATATATAAATGCGCTATAAACCCTTTTGAAAGGAAATTAAAACAGATTACGTAATAATGAAAGTAAATTAAAATAATGAAAAGTGTTTTTATTATTTTTTTATAGTCACAACAAAGAAAACTGTTTTGTGTGTGTTTCATTCACAATGTTTTGGTATTTGTTGTTTTTTTTTTTTGGATCTGTTTTTGGATTCTGGTATGAATTTGTAATGTATGGAGGGTACCTGTGGTTAGGTTTATTTCGGTCGCCCTCTGCCTGTGTCCCAAAACGCGGAACTGCGGTAGTTCGACCTCACTGCTCATTCCCACACTACTCAGTCCATCTCTCCAGAAATATCGGATATCTCGCATCGTGTAACCAACTGGATGCAGTTATTGTTGATGTAGTTGTTGTAGTGGTAGTTGTTGTTGTTGTTGCAAAAAGGGGGCAGGTGGTTAATTAATTATTGTAATTGTTGTTTGTTTCGCTTGTTGTTGTTTTGTGAAGGTGAAGGAGAGTTGACTTTGAATAAGTTCAATTCAATCAGGTTTAGTCGTATTGGTGAATACAATCGTATGAACAGCTAGTTAGTTCCAAGGAATGTACGAATGATTGACCAAGATGAACCGTAATTGAACTTTTGAATAACAACAAAAAGCAGTTTAATAGTTTACATACTAGTTTCACATTTACTAGTAAACTAACTTACTAGCGCGCTAGTCTCTCGTTCAATTTGTACTAGCTCACGATTACGGAAATAGGTTTATTAGTTCACGTTTACTATTTCACTAGTTCACTACATCATTAAAAAGACATAGTCAATAAGTGCATGTATTTTTAGTAGTTTCGATTTCATCACTTGTTCAATTGAACTTATTCTGAACGTCAACTCTGACAACTCTATTTTGTATAGTAACACAATTGTTTTCACTTTGGGGTGTTACAATTAGCTTAGACTTAAATTTTAAATAAGGTAAGTTTAAAACTAGGGTGAGCGAGTGTTTTGACAAAGAATTTAATCATATTTAGTATGTATTTACATAGAGATTGCTTATGTGTGTGTGTGTGTTTGTGAGATCTTGGTGTTAAAGCGTGCTATAAAAAGTTCGTTTTATAATATACATTGAATTGTTTTTAAGTATATGGATAGTTGCTATAATTTTAGATCATTTATTATTAAGCATATATATTTCTTATATTTTGGTTTCTTTTGGCTCTGTTCAAGTCGATCGATCACAATCAGGAGCCTTCTGCGGTTGCTGTAAGTGAGAAGGCGACCGAAAACCAACCAATCTTATGAATTCATTCGCTTTAATGTTACGATATGATATACAGACATATATCATGTTAGTTGATCTGCGAGWTTGTTGTTGTTTTTGTTGATTTATTTTTATTTTTATTGGAAGGGCGGGGACACATGAATGAAACATGAGAATTAAAGAGTTGTACGTTGTATGGCTGCTGGATAAGTCGCTTGAATAAAATTTTAGACGATTAAGTTTTAACTGATTTGGCGGCTGTGCAAACAATGGTCTCGAAAATCATAAACAACTTGGGCAATAGTATGTATATATATATATAGATGTATATAAATATCTACGCAGTAAGCACTATCTAGAGCTATGTCGATTTTTGATTTACTAAAGAGAAAAATCCTTAATTTGATTTTGAAAATAAGGTACGCAGGGCCCTGTATAACTAAAGTTTATTTCCTTTTTCGATATACGGTATACGATTATCGTTGTATATTCTCTGCGTGTTTCTAGCGCTTATTTTAACACTTTTTGTTTTATTATTTGCTTTCTTTAAAATGGTTTTTCTGCCCACACTGAACAAACAGCGCGCGGCCTTAAGCTTAGTGGCCAAAATTTGGTGCGGATGCAATTAGCTAAGGGCTATAACTATAAATATATATATAAGATATAAAACAGAGCTATTGATATATATCGTTTTGGTCGGGGCAGTTGAGTGTTACCCAGCACTAAGCACATCGGCACTTTACTTTGGCCACTTTTAGGGTTTATACTGATAAAGTGCTTCATATTCTGAATGAGTTCATTTCTTATCGATACATATATATTTTTATGTATATATCTATCGATATGCAAATACATTTACAATTTTATTTTATATCGATATTCAAATTTAATTATTGATATTAATTTTATTTTAATTTTTTGCCTTTCTTTATTGTTAAATTTGATTTGTTAAAGTAATTATCCATAGTACTTACAGCTTTCGATCTCAATATGACAGAGCTGTCGATCCATTGGAAAATATTGCAGATTCATTGGACACGATGCGGTGATAGTCAATCTGGAAAGTTTCATTTATGTTTTTGTTTTGTGGAATGGGAAGTTAATATAGAGAAGAAGATAATTAGTAAGTTTTTGAAAGATTTGGCGAATGAACACAGCTAATGGTTACACAACAATTAAATAAGCGGAGGAGGAGCAAATAATTTACGACATTTAAGGGATTATTAGGGGGGCGGGCAAAGTTGTTTTCTTTGTTWTTAATATATATATATTTTTTTGTTCTAGTAGAGCGAGTTCAATTGGATATGAGTTTACATTCATTTATATTTAATTGTTAAGAAACAACATTTGTATTTTTTGTTAGTGATACGAGTGGCATTTGGTTATTTTTGTAGTTGAGTGAGGCGAGTGGCGCAGGGTAATTAAATTTTTTTTTTTTTGTTATTAACATGAGGTTTTGTGACCTAAATACTACGTATACATAATAGCATATATAGATATATTTATATAAATATAGTTTAGTTTTGAGTTGGAGTTGAGTTTGGTTTGAGTTTGGAGTTTTAGTCGGCTGCTGGTTATTGATACATAGATTTTGGACAGATTCTTCGTTTAAAGGTAGTAGAAAATTATATGCCCAGTAGCTACAGTAGCTACTGTGACCAGTGCGCAACCTTTTTGTGGTGTAAAAGACACATGAGATACTGCAACTGGTAACCTGCCTGAAAGGGATTTCCCAGAGGAGGGGTTTGTACAATTTCCTTTGCAAACTTCATTTGTGCAATGAAATATGCAAAATAGATATTTTAATATATTCTTTTCTTTTTACTACTTATTTAAGTACTTTCGGAATATATATAGTAAGAATCGCCAACTTTCGATCGCTTTCACTTTTGCCAATTGAACTCACTTGATTGAAAACTGTTTTTCATTTTGTTGAACTTTTCGTTTCATATCGATAAATATACTTTTGTTTTTAAAATAATTTTAAATATAACATTTTTGTTTTTGGATTAGTAAATTACAACATCCATTTATACACACACATCAAAAAACAGTACAAAGTTGCAAGAAGGGTTAAGAATTAATAAAGAACAAAAAAAAAAAAATAATTTTTTTGTTAGTAAATTTTTTTTTTTTTTTTTTTTGTACTATTTGCAGTCAATAGTTTTTTTTCTTTAATAAAAAGTGTATTTTGTTTTTTGTTAGTTAGTTACACACATACACATATAGATTGTAAAAAATTTTAAAATTTTGCATTGAATTTGCTGAAGATAGTTGATTTTTACCTAATACTTCTTGTTATCGATCCAGAATGATGCACACGAATGAATTCATTGCTGGTTGTTGCAATGTGAAAATATGATTGTTTTTCATTTACAAAAAAGGTGTCAGGTACCCAAATATTCTTTATGAATTCTGATCCAACCGATAGTGTTTCTACACCAGGTCGTTTTCTATACGCTAAACGAGGATCGGTCCAAAATTGACGAAAGTAAAAATCCAATGTAAAGTCCTATATCATATACGATAATCATACGTATTTGTTTGGTTTTTTTTTTTTTTTTTTTTTTTTTTTTTTTTTTTTTTTTTTTGTATATTGATTTCGATTTCAATTACAAAGTGGGAGCAAAAAGAGATGTTTGTTCCTTATTAGTAAACTTGATAGCAGTTAGGACTAAATATTATATATATGTATAAAATAAAAAAAATATTGAATATATGAAACTAATATAGATATATTGAAAAGTAAGTTTTAGAAAATTTTGCTTAAAGAATTTTGGAAAATAGAATAAAATTTCGCACAGATTTAATAGAGTTCATATTAGATATATGTATGTATATTTATAGAGTTCGCTAATTATGAAAATCATAAATGCGTTTTATATAAGACACAACACAAAGAAAATTCACAAATCAACTGAAATTATTGGAAAAGTTAACAATATCGTGCAACAATTTATAAATATAATGGACTTGGACGGGCCTTTTCTTTTTATGTATTACTTTTTTTTTTTTTTTTGGCAGGGGTGGGTCTAAAAATACATTTAAGTTTCAGGCATGCAAAAACATCAAACTTACAATATTTTGGGCAGCAATAATATATATTTTTTAAATTGAAATAAACTGAAATTAAGAAAACTGAAAAGCTTGAAACGAAAAATCAAATGAAATCAAGTTGAAAGAATGGTAATAGTAGACAAGCTTATATACAGTAAGCAGTTCAGAAACCTCTCACAAATTGTTTGATTTGCTGTGATGTGAAGTAGTTTAGAGATATTCTGTTTAGTTGAGAGATTTGTTACTTATATTTTAGGTTTTATTTTGTTCGCTAAATCTAAGGCAAATGACTATATAAAATCCATTTGTACAGCAAAAGAGAGAAAGATGGCTAAAGAGTTAGAGATAGAGAGACAAAGAGCGAGAGAGAGAGAGAGATCTTAACTTTTGCTAGCTTGGGTTGGCTTGTCTTGGCTTGGCTCTTTGTTGTCCTGCTGCTGCGGCTGTTGGCAGTGCCATAAAGCTAAAGCGTTCTATATAGTTATATTTACTTAAGGAAGCGGTACTGGAGCTAGGCAAGGCGAGGTTTGGGAGCTTAGGAATTATTTTTGTTATGGTACAGTCAATAGGTGTTTAAACATTTGTATGTGTATTGTGTATGTTGGTTGCTATAGGATTGGACTTCACACAAATCGTTTTCCGTACTCTTCAAATAATAAAATCAACAAAATTAAATATAAATTTTTTAGATGCAAGTGATATTTGTAAGAAATCGCATAGCTAAGGTACTTTTAGGTACTTTTATCGTATGTATTAACTTGATCACAGAATCGCCCGAGGCACTCGTGACATAATTTATGCAATTCTCAACGCCTTTTATAAATTATTTAATCTACGTTTCAGGCTTAAGTTCAACTCTAGCAGATTTGGTTTCCACTCGGTACAGGCACGCCAAAAACAAAACTTGAACAAAGGTGAACAGCAAAAAATAAGAAAGGGCTGTTCAGACAGTTATATATATAGGTGTTCATATGCTATATATATTTATATATACAGGTTCCACTCTAGGCAAAATCATAAATTATATATTATATTCATATAGTCAAGGTACCTTTAATATAATTATATATTTATATCCTATTTATCTGTCGTATTGAATCTATCTGTATCTGTATCTGTATCTGTATCTGTATCTGTATCTGTATCTGTATCTGTATCTGTATCTGTATCTGTATCTGTATCTGTATCTGTATCTGTATCTGTATCTGTATCTGTATCTGTACCTGTATCTGTATCTGTATCTGTATCTGTATCTGTATCTGTATCTGTATCTGTATCTGTATCTATATCTGTATCTGTATCTGTATCTGTATCTGTATCTGTATCTGTATCAGCATAAATATCTATGTATTGGCACCTATTGTATATCTCCATTCCATCCTATATTTGAAACCACATTTGCTTCTCAAGCTCCGACTAGTATCACTTGCTTAAATTTTTGGCTTGTTTCTATTCGTTTTATTTTGAACAATCTTTCAGATACCCATTTTATTCGTTTTATGAGTGTGTGTGTTTCTCTTTTCAACGATATAGAAAGTGTAAACTTATAAATGAAATAAAGTTATANTATATATTTATATCCTATTTATCTGTCGTATTGAATCTATCTGTATCTGTATCTGTATCTGTATCTGTATCTGTATCTGTATCTGTATCAGCATAAATATCTATGTATTGGCACCTATTGTATATCTCCATTCCATCCTATATTTGAAACCACATTTGCTTCTCAAGCTCCGACTAGTATCACTTGCTTAAATTTTTGGCTTGTTTCTATTCGTTTTATTTTGAACAATCTTTCAGATACCCATTTTATTCGTTTTATGAGTGTGTGTGTTTCTCTTTTCAACGATATAGAAAGTGTAAACTTATAAATGAAATAAAGTTATATAATAGTATGTTTATGCGCGTGTTTTAGTTTTGCTGTTAAGGTGTATGCATGACAGAAACTACAAAATTGTTGTCGTTTTTGTTGTTATTGCTGTTGGCATGAGGCGGCTGGGTATTGTTTCGTGTGCCGTGTTTTGTGTTTGCGTTGCCCCGATCTCGTGTACATGTTGCTGTTATGTTAACCACGTTTATTTCACATAAATTGATTGCTATTGACTGGATGCCAAAGCCCAGCAAATAAAACCAGAAAAAGACAGTGCACGTGTCAATTCGCCCAGCATTGTGCGCTCCGGTAACGGTGCAGTTAGTATGTGTATCGTATTGAGGGTGCTTAAGTACGGTGTATCTGATTTCACACATATATTTATACATATATGGGTTTTGGCATTGCTCGCAAAAGTATTTTACTTTTTAGTTTTTATTTGTTTTCTTACTTGGGTGGGGGCCAATCGAATGCTATTCTCTAGCGACCTCATTTCAAGTGAAGTGTTTGTTAGCAAGTGTTATATATATATTTAGCTAAATTTCGAGCCAATTTATCCAATCGTTAGAAAAATCGTGGGGGAAGAAAACTATAATATAGTCAAATGCAGAACTTTCATGATGTTTACTTTATTAAGTGGAGTATTAAAGGAATTAGAACAGAAACTTGTGTTTATCCAATTGTCTGTATCTTTTAAGTCTTTTTAAGTCTTTGGCTGCTGAACGAAAATCTCTAAAAAATTGATTAATTTTCGAAAGAATAAGCAAAATATGAATTAATTTAATTTATTTATTTTTGTCTTTTTGCTGTAGCGCTCAGTTGACCTGTCGAAAATGTTAAAAATTAAACACAGAAGTATCTTGAACACTTATATACGTTTTGCTATATTGAGTAGTTGAATATATATATGTATATCACATATGACATTGAGTTGAATATATGTATATATTGTACGAGTATGCTATATGACATACATGATTCATATTCATTCATATTTTCATAAATATTTTTTTTTTAACAAAAACGCATGCGCGCAGCCTTTTGTCTGTGGGGACTGCTGTGATTATCGTTTGCCATTGGCCATAATAAAGTACGATTAGTGGACAAATTTTGTAGCTTAAAGCCTTTGAATAGAATAGCATTTGCACAGAAAATTAATGAAGATTATCCAATTAGTGTGGGATGCAATAAAAAAAAAAAAAAAAAAAAAAAAACTAAGATGAGGAGTCGAGCAAGTTATGTTCAAAATAAAAATTTTAAATATGGCTTTATTTTTAAATTTAAGCTATCAGATTTAAAGCATAGAGTAGAACACGAGGCAAAGAGTAATGTAGCAAAAGATTGAAACTTAGATAGATTATCTCGATTGCCTATGAAATTCCAATTGAAAATAAGTTATATGAGTTCTTTGATTTGTACTTTATTTTGGCTCAAGGACAAATTTGAATGGCATTGCAAAAAAACAATTATGAACACAACATTTAATTGTTAAAAATTTTGTTTTTTAGAATATATGTTTATATATATATATATTTAAAATAAAGTTTAAATATTTTTGTATAATGACTATATATGCATTTGGAAAATTGCAATTTGCTTTCAATGTTTTTAAATGAAAAATGAGTCGATAATATGAAATTAAAATCAAGCGAAATGAACTATGAATAAATTGTGGACACAAAATGTGTGTTAAGCGAGAGTAAAGGCAAAAAGGACAGAGAGAGAGAGTGAGAGAGACAGAGAGAGAGAGAGAGAGAGAATAGGAGAGTATGACAGAGAGAGATAAGAAGTACAGATTTTTGGTTGAGAGTTAAATTAGGAAGACATATGATTTCTTTTTTTTTTGTTTTGAAAGAAAACAGAAAATTTGATTTTCTATTTTTTCTTTTATATATATATTTTGTTGTTGATAATGATGTTTTTTTTTTTTTTTTTTTTTTTTTTAAATTATATTTGGTTGGTATGTACCATGAGAACTTCCGAAACCGAACTGATACTGAGCACATACATTGTGACGCCGACCTCCACAGGGGGACCTGCAACATATACACACACACATTGACGATTGAGGTATTTTCTTTTTTTTTTCTTGCTATTTTTGTGTTTGACTGTCGCTGTTGTTGTGGTTCTTGTTGTTGTCGTTTTGTTGTTGTTGTAGTTGTTAGTGTAACCAAAAAATTATTGTATGAATCTTACACACACACCATGAAGGAATGCAGACAGGCAGCAGACTTTTTGCTAGCACTGTCAGCTCTTTAATGTCCTTATCTCTATATAATATTTTGTTTTTCTCACACTATTATTATTATTTTTAATTTTTACAGGCAAAATTAAGTTTATAAAGTACAGTTGTGCGCGTTTTTCTATTTTTTATTTGGTTGTGCTTGAGGTTTTGCTTTTGTCTTATTGCACGCGCCGAATGAAAACCAAATCAACTATTCGAGTTTTTTTCTAAGTATTTTTTTTTTTTTTGTCATGTTTTTGCACAGCTCTATTAAAGCTATAAACGCTAGCGTAATGAAAAAACAATAGTTTCATTTTCTAAAATTATTTATAATTTATCGTTTGCTGTGAAAGCGGTTAAACACACCATTTGAAAAAGCTTTGAGTGGCTCAGAATTGTTGGCAGCTGCAAGTTAAGAGAATTTGTATCTTAAAGCCTTGTATGATATGCGTGAGTGAGTGGTTTCGGGGTGTGGGAGACAGAGAGCTCATTAAAAATCAGGAAGTAGAAGGAGACGAACAAAAAATCCACAATGAAATGGCTAAACGAAAGTTAACTTTGATTTTTTTCTTTTTGGAATTGTGAGTGTTGGATGAATCTCTAGATTGTTGTGTGATTGGATTAATTAGGTAATTAGGGTAAGGAAAGCTTGTTTAATTGTGCTCGTAACCAATTACAGAACAAAATTGACACAGAGAGAGACAGAGAGAGTGAGAGTGAATCTCGTTTTACACACTAAGTAAAAGCGTGAGAGTCGTATATTAGGAAAAAAGCATTGCCAATCTTAAGTTTAGTTTTGTAGTTAGTTCTAAAATAAACAAGTTCAAGATCAACTTCAAGATTTCGTTTCTTTTCTGGTTGCCTCACTTTCGGTACCTATTATTCGAACAGTTTGAACCTAAGAGGAGTCAGCACTAACTGGCGAGAAACCTACAAGAAGTTCAAATTAAGATAAGCTAAATCATAATTGAAAGAAACAGAAGAGCTAAAAAACTGATAATTAAAGCCAGAAGAAAACACAAACGAAGAAAATTACTTTTATACAAATTGTACTACGAACTCGTGTTTCAGAAACAAAAACAAGTGTTTATTAATAAATATTTATTTATATATATATTTGTATGTGTGTGTGTTGTTATATAACTGAAGCAGTGTTTATTGAGAATTCAAATACTAAAGTAAAGTGAAATCGAAATACAATAAAAAAATCATGAAAACAGAAATAATTCCAACAACAGAGACAGAGATTATGCGAGCGAGTTAGAGAGAGAGACAGAGAGATATACATAGAGAAAGAGAGAGAGCGCTTAACGTTACAAAAAAATTATTTTAAGGTACAAAGTTTCATTTAGTTTGTACCATTTTCACTTCTGAGAGCGAGCTGATTGATAGCACATACATGGTGACTCCGACTTCGACAGGAGGTCCTGAAACACGGCATGATTATATAGGTATATATATATATACTGATATATATTGTTTTATATGGAATATATATATGTATATAACGCTAGTCAGTTAAAAGAAAACTAGATATATGATGAGGCAACGGCCTTTGCTACATTATAAATATTTGGTTGTTGTTGATATATAGAGTTGGTGCCCCCTCGCATTCAAGCCGCGTTTAGCCTATATTTTTTTTTTTTTATAGTGTTGTCTAGTTGTTCTTCATATATTAATATATTTATTTATATTTTAAATGGTTCATTTGTTCGTACTTACCACCATAATTGGGTCTTACTCTTTTGTCGTAACTAACACTAAAGGAGTCGAGTATAGCGGATATGTTTACATCACCCAACATGCTGCCGCCGCCAGTTCTATATTAAAGACAAAGAAGAAGAATAAAATTTTATAGTAAAATAAATAGTCCAATTTTAAGTAATGTTTGGAGTAAAATTGGAAAAATCTGTAATAAAAAGTGAGGAAACATTTTATAAATATACATTGATGTAATCCTACAGAAAATGGAGGAATTTCTTTTTAAGATCTGAGACATAGCCCGAAAACTCTAGAAAAAGAATCAAACACCCAAAGGTGAGAAATAATGAGAAAGAGAACAAGAGAAAGAGACGGGCTGTGTGTGTGAGAGAGAGAGAGTGACTATGAGTGAGATAAAGAGATAGACTGAGAGAGCGAGAGAGATAGAGAGAGGGAGTGTGAGATAAAAGCCAAGAGAAATGCAAATAAAAAGACGAGAACTTCTTTAGCAAATCTTAACCCATCTTCCATTGTCTCCTTGATTTCTTTTATATTTATTACGAGACATTATCTTCAAATCCGATATTCATTTGTCCCGTCGTTACTTGAATACAGTCTATTCATTTGTATATATATCTCAGTCATGTTTTATTTCACATACATCCAGAGTACATAACATACATACAGTATATTAGAAAAGTGCTTCACATAACAAATTTTCTATATGCATTTATTTAAGCATATTGTAAAAGATATATAAATAAGGACATATAATGTATGTATACATATATGTTATTTGTTCTATAGGCTGCTAGCTGCCAGAGCTCTTGGCTGTAATCAACATTTATACAACTTTATTAAGGCCTTGCGTTGCTAGACATTTTATGGCTACAGGGTATAAAAACGGATGAAATGGAAAAGGCTGCTGCAGGTACATGTGTCTGTGTGTGAGTGTATTTCTGCCTGCATGTATGTTTACATGTATGCATGTGTGTGTGCGTGCTTTTGTGCTACATTTACTTTATTTGGTACCAAGTGCACACACCCACGCAAAGTCAAACARTCAAACGGGCCACATAAACATATATGTACATATATATA